AAACATTGGGGTACAAGTGCCCCTATGCATCAGTACTCCTGTATCCCTTGGGTAAATTCCTAGCAGTGCTATTGCTGGGTCATAGGGTAGGTCTAGTTTTAGTTTTCTGAGGAACCTCCACACTGTTTTCCACAGCGGCTGCACCAATTTGCATTCCCACCAACAGTGCAAGAGGGTTCCCGTTTCTCCACATCCTCTCCAGCATCTATAGTCTCCTGATTTGTTCATTTTGGCCACTCTGACTGGCGTGAGGTGATATCTGAGTGTGGTTTTGATTTCTATTTCCCTGATGAGGAGCGATGTTGAGCATCTTTTCATGTGCCTGTTGGCCATCCGGATGTCTTCTTTAGAGAAGTGTTTATTCATGTTTTCTGCCCATTTCTTCACTGGGTTATTTGTTTTTAGGGATCAGTGTGGTTTTAATTTGCATTTTGCTGACGACTACTGATGATGAGGCATGACTTTTCATGTGCCTGTTGGCTGTTCATATGTGTGAAGTGTCTGTTCACATCTTTTGCCCAAATTAGGTTATTTGACTTTATGTTGTTGATTTGTTGGTGTTCTTCATATATTGTGGAAATGAGTCTTTTGCCCAATATTCATTGTGAATATTTTCTTCTAATCTGTGGCTTCCTTTTTTCATTTCCCTAATGGTATCTTTTAAAGTTTTAAGTTTGGATAAGTCCAATTTATCTTTTTTTTTCCTCTTTTTAATGGTTAGCATTCTTTGTATATTAAGAAATCTTTGCCAACTTCAGGGTCACTGTTTTTTATGAAAGCTTCATACATAGTTTTAACTTTTATGTTTAGGTCTTTGACTTCATCGTGATCTGATTTTTATGAATGGCATGAGGTAAAGGTCAAGATTCATTCCTCTCCTGTCCCCCATGTGGATATTCAGGTGTTTCAGTACCATTTGTTGAAGACTTTCCCTTTACCATTGAATTACTTTAGGCCTTTGTAGAATATCAGTCATGTGTCTACGGGTAAGCCTATTTCTGGACTCCTTATTCTGTTCCATTGATCTGTTTGTTTATCCTCATGCCAATACCACATTGTCTTGATAATTGTAGCTTTGTAATAAGTCTGAAATTAGGCAGTATAAGTTCTCTTTGTTTGTTTGTGTATTTATTTATTTATTTCCAAGAGAGTTTCCACTCTTCTGGGTCCTTTGCATTTCCATATAAATTTTAGAATCAGCCTGTGAGTTTCTATTTTATGTTTGTTCTGGTTCCTTAGATTCTGAATTTGTCCGTTTGGCATTAATTCATCACAGGGCCAGTTATATTAACTATTTTCTTATTTTGTATTTTTTTTTAAGTTTTTTAAATTTATTTATTTATTTGAGAGAGATGGAGACCCTGTGAGTGGGGAAGGGGCAGAGAGAGAGGGAGTGAGAGAATCCCAAGCAGGTTCTGAACGGTCAGCACAGAGCCAAATGCGGGGCTCGAACTCAGGAAACTGTGAGAGATCAGGACCTGAGCTGAAACCAAGAGCTGGACGCTTAACCAACCGAGCCACCCAGGTGCCTCATTTTGTAGTCTTGATGCTCTGACTTTTGAGGGCCTTACAGACCTGGGGAGAAACTGTCCCTCCCAGGGCTAGCTAATTCCTAAAGACAATAATAGCTTGCCTTGAGTTTGCCAACCAACCAATCCTGAATCTGTAGCCTTCAGTTACCTCCTTATCTCACTTACACACCATGCCAATATCTTACCCACTCTGTATTATCCCAGGGCCAGGTACTGGACAACTAGTGACAGTGCTATAGCCTGAATTATTCAGACAAACCAATGCTGCATTGTTTACCCTGTCTTGCCTGCCTTTCCCAAGGGATCCCCAGTAAAAGCTCTGGCCTAGGCTTTCCCCTCTCTCCTTGCTCTGTCTCCTGAACAAACCTGCTAGTCCTCTGTTACCCTGTGTGGTGGGGGTGACCTCTTGTCTTGGGAAATGTAAGCAAGATATTCTTTCACTGGCATTGGCCTCTCCAGGTTGGTACTCACTTCCATAAGTTAAAATCCCATGGGAACAAATAAGATGGCATTTTAAAATAGCTTTTTTGAGATATAATTTACCTATTATATAACTCCTACACTTTAAAGTGTACAGTTGAGTGGGTTTTAGTATATTCACAGGGCTTTGCAACCATTATCACAATCTAATTTTAGAACATTTTTGTCCCCTCTGAAAGATGTCATGCACCCACTAACAGTCCACCTTCATTCACACTTCTCCTCCCACCCTTGAAGCATCATTAATCTACTTATTATCTCTGTGAATTCCCCTAACCTGGATGTTCGTACATGATGTGACCTTTTGTGTTGGCTTCTCTCATTTAGCATAATGTTTTCAAGGCACATCCGTGTGATAATACAGATCAATATTCCATTCCTTTTTATGGCCAGTAGTATTCCATGTGTAGATATATCCCATTTGTTGTTGTCGTCCATCATTTGATGGACATTTGGTTTGCTTCCCCTTTTTGGTTATTACGAATTACGCTCCTATGGACATTATTATATGTACAGGTTTTCTTGTGGACGTGTTTTTATGTGCTTTGGTTATAGGCCTACGAGTGGAATTTGTGGGTCGTGGTAATTATGTTTAAATCATTTGAGGGACTGCAAAACTGAGCGTATTTTCTTTTTCCACCTGCAGTGTACAAGGGTTCCAGTTCCTCCACAACCTGCTAATGTTTGTTGTTGTCTGTCTTTTGCATTATAGCCATCCTAGTGGGTGTGAGATTGTTACCCTATAGTGATTTTGATTTGCATTTGCATTTCCATTAATGGGAAACATTGTTGACTATGTTTACTTCTTGGCCTTTGGTGAATCTTTGGAGAAATGTCTGTTCAAATTCGTTGCCATTTTAACATTGGGTTAACAGCGCTTGTAAGAGCTGTTTATATATACTGGATACTAGTTCTTTATCACGTGGATGGTGTGACTCTCCTGCCACTGTTTGTGGCTGTGTCACCAGGAGCTGAGTCTCTGCAGGCCTCTAGCAACTTGGCTCCCGATGTCGCAGTGGCTCCATTGCTGTCTTCCCGGCCTTTTTCCAGCCTGTCCTACCCCCATAACGAGTGTTCCCCACAAAGAGCCACTCTTGTTGAGGTTTTGGTTAGCTCAGACCTGACCGTTCTAAATAAATCAGGCTTTCTTCTCCAGGCATGCTTGACTTTTTTTATATTCTTTATATATATTTTATATTTTTATTTTATATTTATTTTTATTTTATA